TTCTGGGAACCTAGGGCTCCCTGGATATTGAACAAGAAAAAAACCCCAGCTTTTTGGTGATTTGATTTGGCAAGCATACAGCCCTTTTGTCCATGGTCATCCAAAGCCATCCAGACAGACCATTTCCCTCCCGTGCTCTCTTTGCTCTTGAACAAGGTCAGTGTTTTTAACACTGTTTCCCCAGCACTGAAAAAGAAAAAGGGTGAGAGTCTGTAGGTGCATCACATACCTTCTTCAGGGGCTTCCTCTGCTGGTGGTGTGGTACGAGCGGTGATGGAAAGACAGGAAATAGGAAAAAAAAAAAACAAAAACAGAACAGATATTTAAAGCTCTTGGAAGCCTGAGAAAGAAACCAGGGAATGCATGAAGGGGAGAAAAAAAAAAAAAAAAAGGAATTAGTGAATTAAGGCAAGGAGAAAAGGTATCTGGAGAGGCTGTCAGGAGTTAAAGATGCTGTAAGGTTAAAGTAGCAGTAAGCATGGAGATTAAAGGAGAAAAGGGCTGCAAGTGATCATTGTGGTTAATATTTGTTTCTCTTGTTTTGTTCTCTTCTACCAACCCAAGACTCCTGTTCTCAGCTCACACACACACACTCACACACACACTCTTGTGTTGCAACTAGGTGGAGTAACTCAGAAGTCATGTCACATACCTGGCTCATGAACTTCAGGTGTGAAGTGTCATGGAACAAGGTGCGATGGAAAATAAGAGAATGAGAACGAGAAACTTGTTATTTCACACACCGAAAGAGCTTTCGAGCCAAAGGGGAGGAGGGACAGAGAGGAAAAGGGGAGAGGGAGACCAAGTCAAGAAGTAAACCTGAGATAAAATAAATTAATTACATTTGAAATAGCATATAAACAGAAGTCACAGGACAGGAAAGGAATTCAGTCAGGTGAAATAGGCAGATTTATTATAATAGTGCAGTGCTTAAAAAAAAAAAAACTTATGAGCATTATATGACATAAAGCACAACCTGACAGCACAGTGTACCAAGGTTTACCTTGATTTGAAATATGCACATGAACATAGTCAGCACTCTCAAAGCACTATTACATCCGTCCTTTTCTACAGCAGTATTTCAGACATTTGAAATAAACACAATGTGGTTCAGAAACCTACTGAAATACCTGCTGTAACTTATCATCAACGTGCAGCTAACTTCCAAAGAAGCTCAGTTCTCTTTTCTAGATCTATGGCTTAGGCCATTTTCTTCCTTGAAGACAATTTGGATATCTATATAAGTCTACTGCTGTTCTTCACATCCATTTGCAATGTAGAATTACAAACAGATTACTTCATAGGAAGAAAAGGTTCATTAAAACTCTGTGCAGGTCTACATTTCATTCTTCTGGGGTTTTGCGGCAAAGCAAGAATCGATCAGCAATGCGGATTTGCAGGGCGGATTTTGTTTTTCAGCCATACACGCACTAGTGAATATTTTGCAAAGCAGACATAAAAATAATGCAAAATCTCACAGTATTTATATTCCCTGTGTACAGTCAGTGGGTCAAATTCTGCCCTGAAATTTGAAACAAAGCTTTTGCTATAGGAAGAAACATTCATTCTCCTATCACAGTGCAGAATTTAACCCATTTCACAAGGACACTTTTTGCTGAGCTACTCTTTCACGATAGTGTATGTGTTTCCTTAGTTTTTAGTAAAATTTTCATGCAACAGGTAAGTTTCCTCCTACTTAGTGCTGATTACATTTTACTGAGGAAAAAAAAATTTTAAACTAAAAAGTAACAACCCCAAAAGCATGCAAGTTACAAGCTATCATTAACAGAGAGGTTGATATCTCCTGTCACCGTGTATTCGCTTCCCATGCACACTGTCCCGGCAGACAGACACTGGGGAGTTTAGAAGTTAAATCACATACCTGGAGGGGGAGCTTCATTTAGTAGGAAGTGTCAGGGGAAAAACATAGGAAAGGAAGATAAAAGAATTAGAAATAAGTTATTCAGGAGGGGATCACCTCAAACTTTGGTAAGAGTGGGTTGAAGGTGCATCATTTGCAGACTAGGTTATAGAGATAGAGTGTTAATGAGAGTGGAAAAGGAGAGTAATTACAGTGGGGTATGAAGTAGACAGGGAGGGGATGCCATAGAAATGAAAGATAAAAAGAATTTGAATGTTGATGAATTGCAACTATTTAAATCATGCAAATATATAAACAGTGAGCAATTGTAGTAACACTGGTAATCCTTAAATTTGAAAGAAAACATGCCCAAGGAGAGAGTTGTACAAGTGTGCAGTGTAACCTATGTTTCAGCTATGCACATACCCTTTTAGCTGTTGGAACAGGTGTGGGGATACGAGAGTTACCGCAAGGAAGTAAGGCTTTACATGTGTCTCTGCGTTTGCGTCTGAAGCTCCATCATCTAAGAGCCTCCACTGGCAAATGTGAGGCTTAGCTCTGCAGAACTGGAAATACTCAGGTCTACAGAGCGCTTGTCTCTGCTGCACAGGAGTAGAAACCGCTCGAGCCTACGTGCCGGGATCCTGCTACTCATGTTTCTGCAGCTCAGGTACCTGCTCTCTGCCCCAGCTGCGGTATAGTCACAGCCCTAAAAGTTTTCAGGGGCACTAAAATGTTTCTTCTAAGCTTCTTAGAAGGTGACTCTTCAGTTACAAACAATAATTATACTTGTTTCCTATAGGGAAAATAAATTTTAGGGAATTGTAAGAATGGATTGATTCTTCATGACTGTTTTTCTTCAACATCTTCAAATTCCTATGTACAGGAATGCTTCAGATTAATACATAGGAATTTAGATGTCACACCCTTGCGCTTGGTGAGGTGGAAAGTATCACCGAAGAAAAATAAAGGAATTAAAGCAAGAATCACACAACAGCAACAACTCTGAATTTGTGCAGGCCAAGGCTGTGACTTAGAAGACATATTAGACAAAGACAGCATTTATAACAGAGAAACTAAGTAATCATACAGTGATATGAAAAGCTGGGAGAGTCTCCTTCTGACATAAAAGTTTTCTTTTACGCTTGTTTTATTTACATCTTCTTTATAAAATTTCCTTTTTGTAATACTTTATGTTACAGAGGGAAAAGAAAACATGGGGAGACTGTAGATATGGCTTTATTGTTAATCAGATTATGTTAATACCTGGTGTTTTGCACAAATTTCAAGCTCATCTGTATGTCAAAGCTTGAGACCAACACTCAAGTAGTGAGTAGCAATTCAATAAATACTAGGGGAAAGAGGTACAGAGGTAGGCAAAGAAGCTGGGATAGTAGCAATGACCTTTAACTTGTGCAAACCAAGGTCAGAAAACCTTAGAAGCAGATAACAGACAAGAATGAATATCATTAAAAGGAGAAGAGAAGGACATGAAACGAGAAGCAGTGAGAACAGGAGGGAAATGAGAAGCAGCGCACGGATAAATGTTGAAGTGTTAAGTCATGCAAAAATCAATCAGATAGCTTTCACCTCACTTGCTTCAACCCTGGCAAAAGTACTGATCTCGCCTAAACTATGAGGCTGGTCTCCCTCTGTGGACAGCAGAGTGAAATAGCTGGGATGGGCGGCTGCTGAGATGTGACTGCTTTAATAAAACTACTCCAAATGGCTCAGAATAATTTTCACAGACGGTTTAGAGAATGCTGCAAGTTCAGTTTCTGCTTTTCCAGATAATAAACATTATAACATTCCTGTATGCAGTGTGAGGATGGCTCTGGGTCCAGTCAGTGGCTATTATTACAGCTTATACATTGAGATACTTGTTTACAAAAATGTTATTACATTTTTCATGCAACAGTTAGCTCTTAGCTTCATTATTACACATCACAGAGCGGAGGAAATTATTACTGGTGGAAGGTGTAAGGAAGCTGCAAGTTACAGTTTATCATTAATATTTGATTTTTATCTGTTTTCTTCCACCGTCTTTGAATTCCTGAGTATAATATTAGAGTTACTGGTATAATTTTCCAACAGAAACCATAGTTTCAATTAAATTTCAGTATTTCAAAACTCATATAGATTTAGCTAAGATTTTGGTTAAAAAAATAGAAGCAGTTTCACAACCACAAAAGGTTACATAGATATTAACATCTCTAGAACAAAACCTTTTCATTTTTTGCCTTGTGACAATCTCTTATTTCAGATTTGTTCTTGCATTACGCTATGTATACTCCACATTATCCATAAGGTCAATGCTTCAGAAGCATCTAAAAAGAATTTTCATTTCAAAATTTAGAAATCTTCCATAGAGGAAAGAAGAAAAAAAAAAAATGTTGGGACAAAATGTTTTGTTTCAACTAAATTAAAAAAAAAATTTTCAATAGCTGCCAAACAAGGTGTTCCTCATTTTTGTTGTTGTTGTTTGTTTGAAAAGTTTCCATTTTGTCCCAATTCAGGACACGACCCAAGCACAATTGAATTTCCAGCACACAATAACCCTTCCGATTGATGCAGAGGAATTCAGAAGTCACATACCTGGTTCATGGACTTCTTTAAGAGGGAAGTAGCAGGGAAGGAGATGCAAAGAGAGATAAGAGAATTAGAGCAAGAAACAGAGGATGATTAAAAAAATCTTACACTTTTTTTAGCCAGGGTGGAGGGGTTAAAGGCATAAAAACCATTAATAAGATTAAAAGAGAAATAGAGGGCACATATGGATGTCAATTAGAAAATCATGGAGAGGAAGGACAGGGGCAATTGGGAGGTAAAAGATGCAAATGACTAACATATACATTCATAATGTTATAAATCAAGTGCCATTGGTAGCCTTTGGTTGACAAAAATATTTACTTGTATTTAAATCAAGTCCATTACCCATAGGTTTGAATGTGCAAAAAGGGTATAGACAACCTGTTCTTATTCATGTGCATAGAAATCCCAGCCTCTGAGGAAATCAATGGGCTTGGAGGAGCTGGCATTGATTTCCTTAGCACCCAGGATTTCACCACTGGTGCGCAGGACCGCACACCAGTGTGGGAAGGTAAGTACGAGCATGTTACTGCTCTCCGACCTGCAGGATAAAGTATAGGATGAAAGCCTAGCTAGACATGCAGGGGGGGGGACACACACAGAAGGGCAATTGAAAGGTAAATGGGTTTGGGCTGGCAGGCTGATGCTTTAATAAGCATGACCTACTATTTTGCTAATCACACAGATTGTCTTACCAGATCTGGACTTTAATTCACATCATATAATCAAGCAAAAATGCAACCCTGCTACCCCCATTTTTTCGTAATGCACATTAACCCAGAAAAATACCAATAGTTACGGAAAAAGCATGCAACTACGTCTTTTCTCTGAATTGGCATTTTCTGCAAATACGCTGCAACCAAAATGATGCCACTCAGTCCAATCAGCCCAACATAAAACTAGGTATGATGCAGTGTCACTTGTCACTTGTGACTTCAGATGCAAGTCTCCACGTCAGCATACATTGCTGCAAAAGCAAGTTTTGTCTCTGCGCAGTGGTGGGGGGACAGAAGGAAGAGGTGCACGCGACTGAGGGACATAGCATTGCCACAGGGCACGGCTGTCCTGCCTCCAGCCCTGATGCATGGCGTAGAGGAAATACTTTTGGGAACGCTATCCCTGTACCAACTGGTATCCGTACCAATAGCCTGGTTAGAGAAGTCAGAGCGCTGGCCCAGCCTGTGCTTCGGGCATTGCTTTCAAAACAGTGGTTA